CGCAACCCGCACCCCCCGCCTCCGCGGCCGCCCGCCCGGCCGGGGCCTTCTCTGCTCTCCTCCGTCCTCCACTCGCTCTCCGCCCCGCTCCCCTCCTCTCTCCCCACACACTCCCCGCTCGCAGCTCGCCGACTCGCCACTGGCCCTTCTCCCTGTGGCCGAGCGGGCAGGGTTTCCGTGGAAGGAGAGTTGCTTCTACCTGTGACCAGATAACGTGCGGCCTGGAGTCGCGCCTGGGAAAGTCGGCTAGGAAACGCGGGTGTTCGCGGCCGGTGGTGCCCTCATGGTGTACTTTCGTGGTGTTACTGATTCCTCTCCCCTTCATCTAATGGTGCAGAGTTGGGGAGGAAAAAGGCTATTTTCTAACTGCTTGCTTAAAGTTTAGTTAAGTCTTTTTCTATTTGCCTGCCTAAAACAGAATTCATCTGAGTGTACAATTGCAAACCACACCTCGTGGCTTTCCCTGTCCACTAAAGCACATTCATATCCAAAGACACTTCAGTGCTCCAGGGTAGGAATAACAGGAGAGACCTCGGGGAAGTTGGGATTCGCACAGAAAAGACACCGGTCTGGTTTGATCTAAGACAGTGCGTATTGTTGCCTGGCTAATGAAATCATTACATTTGCATTTTAATGGAAAGTTGAAGTACTGGAGGAGAGTCATTATCTGATGTTTACATGTGTGTTTCCTGAAAGGTTTGGTAGAATATAAATTTCTTTTTTATTAAGATTTATTTATTGAATTTCATTTGTTATTATTATTTTTAATTTGACCAGAGACAGTGAGAGAGAAAGGGAAAGTGAGAAAGCAAGCTGCCAGGTCCAGGACTCAAACCGCCATCAGCCATGTGGGAGTCCAGCGCCTTTATCCACCACGCCACCTGCCGGCCCCAAATATGTTTCAGCACAACAAATACTGGTTTTTGAAAATGTTATAAAACAGATGTGTGAATAAAGGATTGGAGAGTCAGGTTAAGATGGGAGGCATTTATTGGATTCAAAGAAGGTTAAGAGGAAAAGCATAGCAAGGAACTACTCTGCACGTCAAGTTTTGAAAACTGTCCTCGGTAGTTCACTTTGTAACTTTCTATTTTGATCACTGGAATAGCTGTAATCATTGATAAACCAAAGGTTCTTTGAATTGATTAAAAGGGTGAGGCATTATTCAGGACCAGCAGGTGGCGTAATGGCTATGTCACTGGACTCCCATGTAGTCGACCACGGTTCAAGTCCCGGACCTGGTGGTTTAAGCTCCCACCAGGCGCTTGTGTGTTTGTCCAAAATCACGAGAGGAGAATGGAGGAGAAGGGATTGCAGTGTGACCATTCTCCTGAGCGGGAGGATTTCTCACTGTCTATCTCTTTCTCTGCCTTTCTCAGTTTCTCTGACAGGTGCACATACCCTATAGCAAAAAAAAAAAAAAAAAAAACTGAAAAAGAAAGACTTAAAAATAAGCAGTTCCTTTTGCTATGAGACTATGCCATCTTACACTTTTGGGGGGACTTTTCAAGTGTTATGGTATTTGCTGTCTTCAGTCTACTCAATAATATATGAATATTTTCCAGGCTAATGTAAGGTTAAGAAAACCTACATTGGGTAATTATTTTATTTGTGACCAGGAAGGCTTATATTCCCTCCATCAAATTTAGACTCTTGTTATTTTATGCAGTCTACTTACTTGCTGAAAATAGCTGTTAATACTGTATGAGGGATTTCAATGATTATAAGGATGAGAAGTGTATATTACTCAGCAATCTAAATACAAGTAATACTTTCTCCTTTGTTAGAAAAGAGAAATTATGGGACCAGCATTTGGCATAATGGCTATGTCACCAGACTTCCATATAGTCTATCGCAGTTCGAATCCCAGACCCGGTGGCTTAAACTCAATGCCAGGCGCGTGTGCGTGCGTGCCCAAGATCCCGAGAGGAGAATGGAGGAGAAAGGATTGCTGCATGGCCATCCCTCCAGGGGGTGACTTCTCACTTTCTGTCTCTCTGTCTCTGTCTTTCTGGTGAGCATACGTGCCTTATAGTAAAAAAAAAAAAAAAAAAAGAGAGAGAGAGAGAGAGAAGAGAAATTATGAGTTCAATAGTTCACAATAAAAGGTTTAACCTTAGTTCTTTATCATATGTGGTCCCTGGCATCATCTGGAAGTCCCCCAAATTCCATAGAGCTGTCTTGGTAGTCGGAGTGGAAGAGAGTGACAGTGAACAGTAATATGAGAGCTTTTCTTAAACTACATCACCCTGCTTACTTTCTGATTGGATCACTAGAGAAACTAGCCTGGGATAGGAAGGTAAGTCCCTTCCTTTGAGTGAATGCTCACATTTGCCACACTCTTCTTGCGACTCTGATTAGATCTGGCATTGTGCTGCCCCGAGTTTCTGCCAGGAGCCAGAGTCTCAGACCGACAACACCTGACGCTGTGGCTCACAGTCCTAGACCCTGGCAGGCGCTCACTTCCAGAACAAGTGAAATACACCTGCCAGGGAGTTGTCATGACAGACGCCCAAAGTTTTTATTGGGCACTGGACTCATGAGGTAACAAAATCTGGAGTTAATGTTTTGGTTTCACTTGTTGAAATTAGGATTTCTCGATCAGTTCCTCCAAGATTCACCCACACATCAGGTTGTAAGCCAAGTGTCATTTTTGAAATGTATTTCCTTGTTTGATGATCTCATTAATAAGGCCTTATGAGTCACTGACACACCTCGCAAAAACTCCATTTTCCATTCTGCTCCAAGTCCAAGTTAATAAACTCTTATGAAATCTTATAAATTACCTTGAAGTAAAACACCCTCTGAAGTTATGGATGTTTGACATTGGAGTGTCAACATTATAGACTGTCTAATATTTTAGGTCTGCCTTTTTACGCTCTGCTTCCAGTTCGAGTGTGATGGTGGTTGCTATTGTTTTAATATAATTTCTTATCTTAGGAGAATCTTCTTTGTTTTCATAAATAACAGTTGTAGAGACTGTTCCAATTCCATTGTTTCCTATGTGGAGATGGTCTAAAACTGTACCAGCTGTCAGTGCTGTCTATCAGAAGAGCACCTTCTGAACAGCTCTGTCGCCACCGCACCGGAACTCCTGGGGCAGAAGCGGCCCTCCAGCCAGCGGCCGGGAAAGAGCTCCCAGGCCGGCTTTACAGTTGGAGCCGTCACTGTGGGAGAGTCCATTTGCCAACTGGAGCTGGTGGTTATCTTGGAAACCGTGCTGGAGAGCACAACCACAAATGATTTTGCCAAATATACAGTATTGACTTGGTCTGGAGCTCCGATTTCTGTTTTGACTCAATGCCAAAACTTTGTGAATACAGTGGCTTATCAAGGAAGGACGTGTAGGACATCTGTTCATTTATTGGGTAGTCAGAAGAGGAAGGGCAGAGAGCATACGAATCATTGTTACTGAGGCAAAAAAAGGTGGGCCTATCTGCTTGTTTCCAATGTTCTTTTATTTTCCTTTTTTCTTTTTTCGAAAGGTCCTTGCCTTAGGTGCTGTGCACAGCAGAGATAGTGAGAGGGCAACTGAGACATCACCCCTGGGGAGATGGCCTCCCTGAATCCCTTCTCCATTCTCCTCTCAGGACTTTGGGCATACACACACATGTGCCTGGCGTGAATTTCAAGCTGCCAGGTCTGGGACTCGAACTGTAGTTGGCCATGTTGGTGTCCAGCGACATAGCCACTACACCATCTGCTGGCCCCTCCGCTGTTATTCCGACCCTAGCTTGCACGTTGCAGAGAAGCCCTCACTTACAGTAGGTATATGATCTTTTTTCAATACATGGATTTTTGGTTGCCCATTTTGAAATAGTGAATTCCATCCGCTTTTGTTGGTACCCCCACAAGTCATGAAATGCAGTTAAATGTGTCATGCTTCAACAAGTTGGAGTAGTAGGTGGATTTTCAATCTTGTATAAACAGAAATTTAGTAATAATGTCAGCCTACCTTAAGTTGTAAGAATTTAGAACTCAATGTTTTACACTCACTGAAGAGTGTTACTCCAAACTGAAATTACATTCTAAATCTAGAAATTAAAATAGAAAATGAATACATCAAGGTGATGTGTTTGAAGGGCAGTTTAGGACTCAGAGTGGTTTCTTTATTCAAATATTGCATTTTAAAAAATTACATTTCTTTCTATTGAAAGGGAGGCACTGATTTCAATGCCTTAGTGTTTTCTTCTTTTCTTTTAGAGAGATTTTTGCTATAGGGCACATGCACTTGCTGGAGACACATACAAGAAACCACCACCCAGGAGGGATGACCATGCTGCAATCCCTTCTCCATTCTCCTCAGGATTTTGGGCACACATGTACACATGCCCAGACTGGGTTTTAAACTGCCAGGTCTGGGATTCAAACTGGTCAACTACGTGGGAGTCCAGTGATGTAACAAATATACTACCTGCTGGTCCCATGTGTTTTCTTCTGTTCTAAATGTTTGTTTCTTTTCCTGTGGAAGGAGAATACCCTGACAGTGTGTTTGCCATGATCTGCTCCCACCCTCACCTGCGGGGGTATTGTGCTATCTCTGTACCTCCCTGGCTGCCTCTGCTTTCCAATGGAACTTCGCTGTGACCTGACAGAGTCGAGACTTAATGAATGGCACAAAGCTGGTGAAACATTTTCACTTGTCTAGTG